CGTGATAACTGCACGTGCAGCTGAAGGCTGCATAAAGCCCGCTGATTCAGAGCATGTTAATGTTTCCCTCGAATCGGCACTGCAGGAACTGCCCACGCAATCATTCTGTAGTACTGGGATCGTTCAAATCGCTCCTTGGTTTCGGAGAACCCGAGCAGCTACGCGTCCTCCGCGTCTTAAACCGCAGCATGACGTCTTTGCCGATCAGATTAATCTTGCGGTCGCCCGGGTTTAAGTAAGATCATGTTTTTATGGGCAGGCATGATACCAGATCTCCGCCTACCAAAACTTTTCGAAATTGAAAAATATATACGGAGACATGCCAGACGCAGACGCAACAAAAAACTTCAATACCCTAGTCACTTCCCTGTTTATAGGTAAATAGTGCTTAGAGAGCTTGCACACCGGAAAGCTATGCGCGATGAATGATCGTTCAATTAATACATACAATAAGTTAGGATAGAAGCTTTGCTTCTGCTTTTGCAGTCCAGAAGCTTTTACATCTTCGCATAGGCAGTCATCATTTGCATTAATGACCAAACGTAATTGTACTATGTTTTGGTGCATATTCATAACATGCAGCATACCGGTAAACGTAACAAAACAGCGCGATAATCGCGTAACTATATCCACACTACAATAACATGCTAAGTACGAAATATCGGCAAATTCCCGTGAGCTGCAAGGGCCAGTTAACAAGATGCCAACATGAATAAGGGGCTAACCTTACAAAAACACGGCCCATGCAACGCAACACTAACAAATACACCGCATATGCTCCTTGTCCCAATGAAATAGATATTCAGGTCCGATTGTATGCCAATAACCAAACTGGCTACTTTCAAGTCTGCCTTAGTCCAACTTCATGCAAACGATAGCTACTGCAACCTGTTTTTTCGTGGTTGTGCGTGGTTGTGGCCGTACCTGTGCCTCAGCTTGTGTTTATATATTTGCCTGCAGTTGTGGTTGTGCCTGTGTTTGTGGTTGTGCCTGTGTGTGTGGTTGTGCCACGCTCGTGGTTGCGCTTGTGTTTGCGGTTGTCCCTGTGTTGGTAGTTGTGCCTGCGTTTGTGGTTGTGTCTGGCTGGTGGTCGTAAATGTGATTATG